AGTCGTAGTCGTAGTCGTAGTCGTAGTCGTAGTCGTCGTCGTAGTCGTAGTCGTCGTCGTAGTCGTCGTCGTCGTAGTAGTAGTAGTAGTAGTAGTAGTAGTAGTCCAGTGCAGCTAATGCCCCTGTGACGACTTCTGCACCTCACATCCTGACGCTGCCAGTGCCACTAATATAGGGGCCTGCCTGAATAATTACCAAGACTATTTTGGTGGTTCCTTATTCTAATTATAAAGGCCGCCTCGTGACAGTCGTCGTCCATCGAGAGCTTCCACTTTGCACAACATGTTAATGTCCTGCCCTTCGTGTGGCATGTCGTCTATGACTATGAGATTTGTGGGTCGAAACCCTGAGCCCTAAACCCCTAAACCCTAAACCCTAACCTCTAAACCTCCAGCAGAAGGTTCATATCCGAAGGTGGACAAACTGAGCAAAGCATCCCGAGCGGCAAAACCCTAAACCCTAAACCCTAAACCCTAAACCCTAAACCCTAAACCCTAAACCCCTAAACCCCAAAACCCCACACCCCAGGGCCTCCATGGAAGCGGAACACAGCAAGCTGACAGCGGATGTGGGAGCTGAGATGCGACGGCTCGGGGGCTCTGAAGAGCTACCGGGGTTTAGGGTAGGGGCCTCAGGGGTTTAGGGGTTTAGGGGTTTGGGGTTTAGGGTTTAGGGTTTAGGGGTTTAGGGGTTTAGGGGTTTAGGGCCGTTTAGGGTTTTCAAACGATTTCATGTAGGTTCTATATGGGTTTAGGTCTCAGGGTTCAGGATTCACGGTTTGGCGCGCACGTGCGCAGAAGAGCCAGGCAAAAAAGTGCTTGGTACTCGCCAAGCATGATGTCCATGCTTCATCTCCATCAGCTTGTGTGGGAACATGACCAGGAAGTGTCCTGTGAATGACAGGATCTTGCTATCAGCCTGCTTGTTGCTGCAGCCTTTGTATCGTCTGGTGATCTTGTTTTTGTTGACCGCCGGGGCCGTTTTGGATGCATCAGCTCACTCAATCCTGCACCACTCGAAAGGCGCGGGACGTGTCTTTTCCCTAAACTCTATACCCAAAACCCCTTATGTCGGTTGCCGGCACTCAGAACTCCCTCAGCAGCCTGCACGCCAGCTCGCGCTCGCTACTATCGTGTTGGGGTTTAGGGTAATGTAGGGGCCTTAATTATTAGAATAGGGCTTGAGGGTATATTATACTATAAGTATAATAAGGCACCCCCTCAACTCTATTCCAATCATCAAGGCCCAGGTTTGGTTGGGGCAGGGAGGGTGGGCAGGTTGTTGTCTGAACTGGCAAGGAAGCTAGGTATTGAGTGAAGAAGTAGTTGCGGGTACAGCAAGAAAGAGGACTAAAGCAGTTTTTGATTTGTAAACGATCAATATCTACATACACATGCCAACACATGTTCTCGATAGTTCACTATGCAGTTATGCATGCATATACAAACAAAAGTACATACACATATATGTGCACATGCATACATGCACTCGTGTGCATCTATGTATATATACATGTATATATACAAGTACGCTTACATGTTTTTGTCCGTCTGTTCATTGAGATATTTATTTGTGTATTCTGTGTGCACAGTTATGCATGCAGATCTGCGCGTGGATGGATGTGCGGAGGTGTGGACCCTAGACCCTAAACCCTGCGCTTCAGTGAGTGTGCAGGTGCAGCATGGCGGCGCCGCCTCCACCTCCCCCGCAGGAGGTGTACAACACCGAGGCAAATGAGTTGTGCCAGGGTGTGGGAAGTTGCCTAAAACTACCCATGTGTTGCCCCGAATCGTGCGTTTATTGGTGTTGGGGTTCAGGGTTTACGGTTTAGGCTGTCTTCTTGGTATTGCGGTTTAGGATTCAGGGTTTGTCATCCTTCTGGAAGGCGTTGCACCTGAATGATGAAGTCGTTGATATGCTGATGCTGCTCGACTACGAGAACAGGCGTGGTTGCGGACACAATTTGCAGCGGACCGAGAGGTGTTGTGCTGACTCTGGAAAGCCTTGAAATTTCATGTCTATGCATCCCCTTATTCCTAAACCCTAAACCCTAACCCTAAACCCGAACCCCAAACCCTAAACCCTAAACCCTAAACCCGCGAGCGTATTTTGTTCAAGGGCTTTTTGAGAAGTTAGATCAGCTCAAGCGCACCATGGCTTTGCTCCGCTCCGCCTCCCTGCGTGCCTCCCTCGGTGCCTTCCGTGCAGCCAGCGTGCTCCCGCGAGCCCTCCCGAACCTTGCGGCGCCGGTGTCGGCGTCTGGGAATTGAAGTCACGACAATTTAAGATTCCGATGAGGGTTCTGTAAGGGCTTAGGGTTAGGGAATTCAATTTAAGCGAAAGGGATCTGCAGCAATTGTACAACATGGTTTCCTTTCTATGGTAACTTAAGTTAAAATCTTTAACCCTGAACCCTAAACCCTAAACCCTAAACCCTAAACCCTAAACCCTAAACCCTGAACCCTAAACCCTCATAGAACCCCTAAAGGAACCCTTAAAGGAGCCCTGAACTCGGGTAACTTCGCCTTAAGCACCGCAATCTCTAAACCCCACACCTTAAAACCCTAAACCCCAAGCCCTAAACCTTTAACCCTGAACCCTAAACCCTAAAACCCTAAACTCCAAGCCCTAAACCTTTAACCCTGAACCCTAAACCCTAAAACCCTAAACCCCAAGCACTAAACCTTTAGCCCTGAACCCTAAACCCTAAAACCCTAAACCCTAAACCCTAAACCCCAAACCCTACAGCTAAGAGCCCAGGCTTCCAAACTCCCCGAGCCTCTGAGCGCCGCTTCGATCGGTCTCGGCGCCCCGCTGGCGAAGCGCCATGCCGGGGTCTCCGTGCTGGGCGGCTGGCTTAAATATATATGGTAAGAGAGGGTTTAGGGTTTAGGGTTTAGGGTTTAGGCTTTAGGGTCTCCGTGCTGGGCGGCTGGGTAGGGTTTAGGAATTTCAGTTTAGGGTTTAGGAGTTTAGGGTTTAGGTTTTCAGGGTTTAGGGTTTGGGGTTTGAGGTTTTAGGGTTTTAGGGTTTAGGAATTTAGGGTTTAGGGTTTAGCCTTACGGAACTAGGGTTTCGGAATTTAGGGTTTAGGGTTAAGGAAATATCAGTAGGGTTTAGGGCTCTTACTAAGGAGCTTAAATCAGGTTACCATACGCTTAGAGTTCCTTTAGGTGTGGGGTGAAGGAGCTTACACCAACATCAGGAAGCCTTTTTATTTTCTTTATCAAAAATCCCTATAGTAATAGCTTACATGAAATTCCTTAACCCTAAACCCTAAGCCTTATAATGCAAGAACCCAGGCTGCGCCATTGCCATGGTTGCCGTTGGTGGCTGTGCTCAAGGCATTGGGCAGCTCTTCGCAGCTTTGGTGGTGGGCATGGCACGCAACCCATCAATGAAGGAGGATCTCTTCACTTACACGCTGATTGGCATGGGCTTTCTGGAGTTCTTGGCCATTGTCGTCATCCTGATCGCCGGTCTGCTCCTCTACTCGGAGTGAGGGGAGCCATAGCCAAGTCACAGTCGCAGAAACGCAGCTAGGCGCTGCCGTGCTGTGCATATTAGTTTCTCCAGGTGTAATCTTGCACTACGGGCTCATAGGTGAATCGCTTAGTCACATACTGTCAAAAGAAGTCGACGAACGCCTGCAGAGGAAGAAGGAAAGAAGACTTGCACAGTCTCTCTGGCATGGTGATCTCAGCTGCCCTGCACCCGAAACCTGAAACAAACCCAAAACCCTAAACCCAAAACCCTACACCCCAAACTCTCATTGCACCTTAAGAAAAAAGTCGGCAGGTTCTGCACGAAGGAGCTGAAGCCGCTACCTCGCACTTTCTTTGCGTCCCTTCGGCCTTGAATTTTGCAGTGGGTGTAGCATTCCCATTAAGGTACTATCGGGTTCTATAGTAGGATTTCCTTTACGAGTATTATGGGGGTAACAGGGTTCCCTTGGAGGGTCTTAGAGGTCTTGGCGTTTATTTTGGGTAGCACTTTGACAGTTTAGGGTTTAGGGTTTTCCATCTGTCAGCTCTTGTTTCCACAATGGTGGTAGTGGTCGGCATCGTTGTCGATGTCGAAGTCGTATCCGTTCTGGCCCTCGTCGTCGTCGTCGTTCCTGTCTTTGTCATTTTCCATGTTGTTGCTGCTGTTCTGGGATTGCGGCAGTGATGGCAATTGCCGTTACGCCAAAGGTCCAAGATGACCGGGAACGTGACACTGGTGGTGATGATGGGTAATGTGATTTCTACTAAGATGATCGTGACCATGATGGCTATGATGCTGTTTTTGATGATGATGATGATGATGATGATGATGAGAACACTGATGGTGACAGCGACGATGATGATGGTCATGTTGGTGATGGTCATGATGGTGGTGTTACGGTTGTTGCTGCCGCTGTTGCTGCTTCTGCCGCTGCTGCTGTTGCCGTTGCTGTTGCTGTTCTGCCGCTGCTGCTGTCGCTGCTGTTCATGGTGTTGGTGTTCGTGTTGCTGTTGCTGTTGTGGTAGTGACGGTTGAGTTTCACTTTTGTAGTCTTTCTTTTTTCGGTAATGAGATGGCCAGGTATCCAGCGCAGAACCCTGCACACCAGTTCAAGTACTTCACGCAGTGCCGCCCCGAGCAGATCGCTGTCAGGTGGATTGGAAAAATCTGTTGATCCTGATATCGATCTGTGAGGTTGGTCGTGTGGGCAATGAGCATCCTGAACATGAAGGTGCCTGTCGCCGTGCATCCCCAGAATCTGGTGATGTCTCATGTGAGATGAAGAACAAGGATGCTAGGACAATATAGTAAAGCCACACAAAAACCCTAAACCCTCAACCCTAAACCCTAAACCCCACGCACTGAGTGCTCTGACAGGCAGATTGGGATGAGTTTGATGACCCGAATACGGTTATCACCAACATGCTGGTCATCCTGCAGCTTAGCTGGATGCCGTTGGTTTTCTATATGGGAGTTTCCGAAAATTAGGGGTGCCTTATTTTGGGGTCCTTATAGTAAGGATCCTATTACTTGGGGTACTATATTAGGGTCCCCCATTTTCGGAAACCCCCATATCGCTCCGAGATTTGTTGTTTGAGGTGTTTATTGGGTGTTAGAGCAATCGGGTTTACGTGTCGGTTCCGAGTCCTGGATTTAGGCTGGCGTCGGGTTCTTTGGTCTGTTCACGGCATGCTAGTGTGACACAGCTGGGTCGAATTAGTTGTCAAGCTGTGCGGTCTCCTAGGGTCTTATAAGGTCGTGTTCGGCTCGGTTTTGAGGGTTCTTATAGGGTTTCACCGCATCTTCAATTTTGTAGCTTGGGTCAGTTCTTATGGGGTACGTAATTACAGGGCTCCAACATACCTGCACTATTCTCTTTGGTACGTGTTATGGTGCAGGAGATTACCCTATCCTAAACCCGAAACCCTAAACCCTAAACTCTAAACTCTACACCCTAAGCCGTACTTTAGTGGAAACCTATTCTATGTATTAAGGCCTAAACTGACAAACTCAAGCCAAAGCGCACGAACAGGAACACGCATTTTCCGGAGCATGCGGACGCATTAATGTCTCGTGCAACAACACTAAACCCTAAACCCTAAACCCTGCTTCCCAAGGCACAGGAAGCCAAAGCACGGTCAGAGAGGCACTGAGCCCTAAACCCTAAACCCCTCAACCCCTAAACCCTTACAAACAAAACCCTGTTTAGGGTTTAGGGTTTAGGGTTTAGGAACCGAAAACCCTGAAGCCCTAAACCCTAAACCTGCAACTGTCGATAATATGGTGGGGTGGGGATGCAGAGTTGCCCTTGGTTGCTTTCAGCACCGGTTTGACCCCTCGCTGTGGGACTCGGGTTTCGGGTCTAGGGTTTCGGGTTCATAGGGTTCATAGGGTTTACAGGGTTTATAGGGTGTAGGGTTTAGGGTTCAGGATTTAGGGTTTAGGGTTTACAGGGTTTACGGTTAAGTGCCCCCCCTGAGGAAGGACATGGGCTTGCAGGTCCGGAGCTCAGCGAAACACGCGAGGATCCGTGGTGTGATGTGGGGTTTAGGGTTTAGGGTGTAGGGTTCAGATTGTGCAGGTTTAGGGTCCTTGGGTTTCATGCAGATTTTTTGGTATTTCGGTCAAAGGCATTCAAGCGGTTTGTTGGTCTAGGATTAGGGTTACATGTACAGGGTCTAGGTTTGCGATGCGGGGGTTCGTTGTTCTGGGTTTTAGCATTCGGGGGCTTGCAGATCTAGGGTTTCGTGGGTTGAGTTCATTAAACCCCCATATTAAAGCAATCCTTATAGACCCTTTAAACGGAACCCCTTAAAGGAATCCGATTCTTTCCCCTCTAAGGTTTTGGGTTTTAGGCTTTTTGCTTTTTTGAGCGTCCTGTGTCTACCGGGCTCACTCGCATGAAACCCTGAAACCCTGCAGCTGCTCCCAAGTTTTAGGGTTTAGGGTTTAGGGTTTAGGGTTTAGGGTTTAGGGGCCGACCCACGCACCGCAAGCCTCAAAACGCTCTACGGCAGGCAGAAAGCCCGTACCAAAGCCGTACCGACACTTCTTAAAGGAAGACTCTAATAAGAGCCTTACACCAACTCACAGAAACCCAACAGAACGCAAAACCCCTGAACCCTAAAC